TAAATTCCCAGAAGATTAAGAGATAGGTGAGCACAGCCACTTCTCTGAGGAAGGGCACCCATCTAGGAGAGGGTGGAACAAAAGAGCACAGCCAACTCTGCTGCAGGACAGAATGCAAGGGTGTACAGCTAGTAGGATTAGGGGAGCATATTCAATAGAATGTGAGTATGATTATTTAAAAAAGCAAAATAATGTCCCTAAAGGAGATAATTTTTATCTACATTTAAAAGAATGCATAAAAGTTGTACAGATGGTAGTGGGATAGAAAGTAGGGTCTAGAAAGGGTGTTAGGCTTTTGGAATTTGGAATCTCATGAGCCTCTACAGCAGTTACTAAGTTCCCTAGTAGCCTGAGGACTCTATATCTGAATCTCCTCTGAACCCATGAGCCCTTCAGTGACCACATATTGGATCAGGTAGGTCCCCTTCTTCACTTCACCCTAAATTCACACAGGCTTACCATTCCAGCTGCTTTTATATCCATTTCTTATGGTCTCATTTATGGTGCCTTGACTTTCAGAGGGTACTTTTTGATGTAAGTCCACTGACAGCTGTGAATCTGCATCAAGCTTAGAGATCAGAAACTTGTGCCTTTTATGATTGCTGGCAACATAGCAGTGAGGACACAGGTGGCTCTGCCACCAGCAAAAGCATTTTCATTGTGTGAACTTGAGGTCATTTCTTCAGGCTGTTCAAAGACATCTCTGTTTTAAAGTTATGAGGGGTTGAGCTTAGTTAATTGATAAAGTTGCTGATCAAAGGATCTGACCATATGAAGTCCCCAGATCTGGGTGATTACAAATTATGTCCTGGAGTGAATTTTCAACTGAAGAAATGTTAGTGACCTCAGGTAAAAAGGCTGACCACCCTGAGACAGAGGAAAGGAAGGAAGGCAAAAGGGAGGGAGAGAAGGAGGAAGGGATGGAAGATGAAAAATTGAGCCACATATTCAGTGGGAAAGCTGGTGGATGACTGAATCCTGTACAATTCTCAACATGGTCATTGCATAGTCAACAAATATTTACTGAGAATTGACCTAATGTCAAGAGATAAGAAATTCTGAAGCTCAGAGAGTAGTGCTATCATTCTTGCAGGATGATCCTTGATTTCTATGTGGAAGAAAACACTTTAAGCACTGATTATCCCTGCATAGTTTCTCATACATCCATAGTAGGAGGAATAAAGGTATAACATATCTCTCGCTCCTGCTTCATTTATTTTAATTCAACAATAAAGGTAAAGGTGGGCACCCAAACCAGCCACAAGAGAATTATTACTGGACCAAACTGTAAACACAAGTAGGAACCAGCCAGAAAGAGATCAAAGAGAAAAAGCATCCTGAAAGGATAGATGACTGTGCTTAGATGAAACAACAAATTTGAAGTACTGACTAGCATTTGGCCACCTTTCTATAAGATCCATCTACCCAATGCCTTTGAAGATGACACCATGTTCTTCCACTATTCTTGCTCTGTATTTCATATAAACTAAACCAGAGCACTGCAAACTATGAGCTGGGGCCAAAATCCAGCCCACGACTTATTTTTATAAATAAAGTTTTATTGGCATATAGTCATGTCCAACAGTTCTTTACTGTCTATGACTGCTTTTATACTACAAAGCCATAGTGGCATAGTTGTGATAGAAATCATATGAGTCTTGAGGCTTAAAATATTTACTTTTTGAACTTCACAGAAATGTGACAGCCCTCGATCTAGAGCCATCCTCTCAGCTGTCACCACCATTGGTCATTTGAACTCAAGAAGATGTGGTCCCTTAAAAGAAATTCATGCCACACCAAGGAATAGGTGGAGATCAGAAAAAGTGGGAACTAAAATTAGAGGGGAAGGATGTGTATGAAGGGTGTGGTAGGACAAACTTCCTAGTCAAAGTAGGACATTCCCTCTGCCCAGTGATATAAGTCTGATAAAAGAGGAAACAATGAAGACTGCTGGTCTGAAGATGATTCTTTTTCACAATAAGATTGCTTCGCTCTTTTTGTAAAAAAAAAAAGATGCAGCATTATAAATTGCTGGATTTAAGAGATGTATAGTAAAAACTTTTTTTGTAAAGTGAAATCATGCAAAAGGAAGAATTCACCTTAGGTATTTCAGCTGGAAATCCACATGAAAGTCAAGAGTCAGAGCTGATGACCCTCCATGGAACTGAAACACCATGAAATAGAGAACAAAATTCATAGCCCACACAGCTTCTGGATTCCTGTTTCTGTTAGCCTGATGATTAATGTGTAAAGCAGAAAGACATTTCCTTGACTGCCTTAGAGCCCTGTGAACACAGTACAGTCAATAAATACTTATTGAAAGTATTTTCCTAAAGCTTGCAGCACTTGCTCAGTGATATCTTATAATCAAATAAGAAAAAAACTGTTCATGGCAGTTTCAAAATATATATAAATGTACATTAATGGAACCCAAGCTAGAAAGGAGAAGTAGGAAAGAAAATATTTATCACTCTGGGTTCATGTTATCCATCCGGTACTGGCCTTTGAGAAAATAAGAAAGAAACATATCACAGAAGCCCCAGAATTGAGTGTTGCAAAAGAGAAAAGGAAGGAAAGAAGAAAGAGAAGGGAGAAAGGAAAGGAGATTTGTCAATGGCTCTGTTTTGAACAAATGAAAATATATACTTTATAAAGTCAAATTATTTTTTATTCTCTGGCTTTATATGTGTTAGACTTTCATCTGTCAGTGAAATGGCTCCAACACTCCAAGAATGGCAGATAGTTAACTGAAATGGGTTCTCAAATTGCAGTTTTTCCAGTAAAGATAAAATATGGCTTTCTGCCACCTGTTCGGAGCTATGGCACCAATATACTGATTCAATCCTCCTTAAACACAGTCATATTAGATTTGAAGTAGTGTATCACCAATTTTGGTATGAGGATGATACTAGGATCTGTTTATTTCAGATTGACCATTATCCCAAGTTAGAAGCAAATTAAAATCTTGCATTGGAGATATTAAAAGAGAGCAATATAATTATCACTTTCTCCCTAGTGCATCTTCTTCAACCTCTTTTGAAGTCTGGGAATGCACAGTCACCAGTTAGAGTAAACGCCTAAATGGTGACAGAGGTTGTCTTAGTCATTTTCTTCATTGCTGGGACAAATATCCACCACCCACAATTTAAAGGTATAGTATTTTGGCTCACAGTTTTAGAATGTCCATCCATGTTCAGCAGGCTTAAACATAGACACATATGGTAGAAGGGCCTGGGTGGAAGAAAGCTGCTCACATCGTGTCAGCCAGAAAGCCAAGAGAGTAATGAGTATCCAGGATGGGAGAGATCATATACCCTTCCTGGCCATACCCCTTTCCAACCAGACCCCATCTCCTACCAGCAAGTCAGCTATATCAGCCCCATAATTCAATCACCTTCCAAAAGCCCCACTATCCATGCATGATGCCTTTGAGGAATATTCTTAATCTCTAAGCCATGACAGAGGTGAAATAAGGCACCTTCATGGCTGCCTGTCCTGCTTTGGAGGAGGAGAACATCTTGCCTTCAGGAAAGGGTTCGATTCTACAAGTTTAATGTAAACACCCAAAGAGATTCTAGCCCTGACCTTCAGGTTCAGCCCAACTGAAAAAAAAAAAAAAGTAAAGATAGTGGTTTTGCAGGCATGAATCCATTGGCTCTGATTCTGGGGTGACTCTATTTACCACCATCCCATGGCTAGAAAGGAAACTAAGGCTCCATCACTGTCAGGCAGAAAGAATGACACAGGTCCAGGAGAGAAATCAAGATCTATTAGGGTTCTTTTCAGAAGACTACCCAAAGATGAAAGATCATCATCTAGTCTGTGATGTTTCGAATCCCCTTCCCTAGGGAATATTGAGCCCTATGGCTGCTGGAAGTACCTATAGACTTTTGAGGTAACCTAAATATAATGGATTGAATTCACAACATCTTGAAAATTCTCTTTGTCTTGTTGATATCATTCAGATGGCACTTGAAAGACAGGCTTTATTGCCAACAACTCAACCGGAGAAATATATGAAAAGATTTACTACTCACCACCCCCTACCCCATATCTTCTCAAGCCTCTTCCTTAAACCACCCTCCTGACTTTAAGACTACCTTCCTGTTTTGCTAAAGAGGCCAAGGAAAAGATTTGTTGGAGCTCTTTCTTAAAAGTTAGTATGACTTCTGATTGTGTATTTAAAGGCTGAAGCATCCCTTTAATATCCAGTATCCACACACCACTTTCAATATCAATGCTTTAAAAGAACCAGAAAAGAAAAACCCAGATCTCTATCAAAAAAAAATCCAGAACAAGGAAGTATAAAGCTGAGAATGATAAAAGGAGGCTGAGGGAAGGTTTCAGCAAGACAATGCTATCAAGCTTTCCAGGAAGTCAGATCTAATCCTAACCCAGAGGAAAGAAAAGGCTCTAAAGTCTAAATGTTTTCTGCCCTTGGAGCAGGATGCTCATCAGGTTACCCCAAACCCACTGAGCACACCTCTTTAAGCCCCTCCAATAGACCACCTGCTGAGTGTAATATATCCAGCTAACTCAGTTTTCTACAATATTTCTTGCCACCACCATCATATATGTAGTCTGTCGGTGACCCAAATCTCATTTTGGGGAACATGACTGTGTTACTATCACCAGTACCTTTTAACCCCAAAAGAATGAAAGATAGTCTCGGGATTGAATGCATTTACAACACTGTCCTTATTTTTCTAGTTCCCCCACAAGTGCCTGACCTGTACCTAGGCATCATGTCCAATGCATAAGAACCTCAAAAGTGAAAATGTATCTCCTGAAATGCTGCTAGATGGGTTCTCAAATATTTTTTTTAATCTGGCAGACTTTTAGTATCAATTTGAATGATGTATGTCATCAATTATACAGCATAAAAAAAATATACAGCATGAGGATAAAATATCAAAATGTATTCAGAAAAATAGTTGTAAAAATCATTATGAATTAAAATGTAACCAAATCAGAACACTGTCCTTTCCTCTCTGTTTCAGGTACATGGCCATCATCCACCCCCTGCAGCCCCGGCTATCGGCCACGGCCACCAAAGTGGTCATCTGTGTTATCTGGGTCCTGGCCCTTCTGCTGGCCTTCCCCCAGGGCTACTACTCAACCACAGAGACCATGCCTGGCAGAGTCGTGTGCATGATCGAGTGGCCCGAGCATCCTGACAAAATTTATGAGAAAGTGTGAGTACAAACTCACCCCTGTTCTGAAGCTGCTGTGGGGCAAGGGCCTTCCTTGCCCTTTGTTATTCCTGCTTTCGTTCCATATGCTCTGTCAGTGAGGATCAAATGTGTGTTTCTAAACATTTCCCACACCCACCCTGATATCAGGTTGATGTGTCTACAGTTATCAGGAGATTGTTGTACTTTAATTACTATTCTGGGCTTTGAAAGAGAATCAAGAGCTGTGAGACCCAGACCCTATTGAAGGAGACCCTCTTACTGCACCACCAAGTCTCTCAGGCCCTTATCAAACCATTTCCCTGCCAGTACCTACAATCCTGGGACCTTCATCCTAAACCACCGACAGCCACTCTGTCCACCTGCAGAGTACCTCGGGAGGGGCATGTCTCTCAGGTGTGTGCTTTACACAGTGCTCAAGGTTTCCTCCTGAGATACAGCTCCAGATGCCCAGGTTACCTTATTCCACAACATTTGTGTGATTGGCCACCATCCCTTACCTGTACTACTGCCTCCTCCCTACAATATTTCTTTCTTCTCTCAAATAAGGTACTTGCACTTGAGTCTTTTATCTCAGATTCTGCCTCTGGGGAAAACATCTACCTTCCAGGTTTTTGTTTTTGTTTTTGTTTTTGTTTTAGTGTAAAAAATAAGACAACACATGTGAAATGCATGGGGACACAAGGCCAGTGCACCCAGACTTTAGGAGTTACAGAACACCTACTGGGCAGGCCCGTTTATCTTTCAGAGAGGGGCTGGTCACAATGAGGGCTTTTTTCAAAGCGTCTTGACAATTTTCTCTAATATTTCTTATCGTAGCTGCAACATTGAAATGGCTTTATTCTTTGCTTTGTTCTGCTCAAGTGAGCAACAATGTGACATTTATATTACCATTAGTTTTCTGGACTAAGCACATGGATAAAATAGGTCTTTTTGCAAGCCCTCTATAATTCCCCTATCTTGGGTTTATTATGTGAATCATAAAACAACTGTAATGTTAGAGTCACACAATCTTGGTCTTAATTATTAGATTGCCACAAGCCATGTAACCCTGGGAAAGGATCACAGCCTCTCTTCCTTACTAAAATGAAGATAATAAAGCTCCACTTCCTATAAACAATCGTTATGAAGATCAAATGAATTATGTATTCTCACCTTGTAAACTATTAAATGCCATACAAACATTGTGAACCAAATTCATTGGATAACAATATAATTGTGTGGCATTTAATTTATTAAATGTTAAAATTAGATGCTATACCTGTCATGACTGCAAGATCTGATAGTTTGAGAGCCTGTCACACACAGAGTTATACTGCCACATCTGTTCCTTGGAGTATGAAAATGTGGCTTGCCAGGAAAAAAATACATAAAGCTCAGGCATCACCTTCCAGACACAGATAGTGGGATTTATTCGATCAAGCAGTGGGGGGATTAATGCTCAACCTAGAGGGAAACATTGAAAATTATTCTTCCAAATGAAACTACAAGCCTGAACAAGACCTCAACGAGAGAAAGAACACAGTTTTACAAGTTGAATAGGATCTGTAAATATGATCAAGAAGGTTTCCTCAAAAGGAGAAAAATAAAATATCTCTGAATTAAAATTCCTTACATAAATTGCTTCAGAAACCTCCATAGATAATATGGCCTGTGGCTCTGTTCTTAGTTCTCAATGTCTTTTCAAAGTCTGATCAGCTTGCTGCAATTTTTCGTTTCAAAATACTCATCACTCTTTCATCTTATCACAAATTCAGAGCTTAACTTGGAAATAGATTTGGAAATAGATCTCTGGTGTTTGGGCCAAGAAATACTGATGTTTGGAGTCATAATGAGGCAGGAGACTAGAGTGTGACAAAACTGGCTAGGGAAGTAGGGGTAACCTGTTTGTTACAAAATGCCAGGACACATGGGCAGAACAGTTTCCTAAGCCCTGCACATGGACTTCTCACAGGTTTTCCATAGGATGGCCTAGACCTGACACCAGCCTGAAGAGTGGGCGATACAAAAAGGGAAGTTGATGTTGAGCTCTTTGCTGCTGTGCTTTCACAGCAGCTTGATCTTGTCCTGTAGAGTATACTTCTTTTCGTACTTTTACTTGGCCCAAACTCCCTCAGCAAGGCCTGCTTCTTTTCCTTTAAATGTAAAGCCTTACTATCATTTGTGTTTGTCCTGACCAGTCCTTTGTTCAGGACGGAAAGAGCCTAGACACCACCTCTGCAGGGGGACTCACACACTCTAAAACCTGCCAACAATATTTTTGAACATTTTGGTATTCTATGATTATTAAGTACTAGTCAAATCCCTTGAGAGCTAACAGAGTGCTTTGGATTGTCTTATTTCTTTGCTTCAAGAGTTAATGCTACTCTTACCATCTAGGTGCTACTAGATGGTAAGGTTTGCCATCGTTGTTTATTTTATTAACCTAACCTAAAAAATAAGTCTGATTTATGAGCCTGTTCTTCTATCCATTCAAGACATATAACTTGTTTATTGATACAATAGTAAGTCCAAAGAGTCTGTACTTTCCATTTACATATTGACTGTGATATAAACATAGGTGAAGTACATAGCAAAACTTTATTCAACTCTAATTTCTTTTTGTTAGTATCTTTCACATTGCATTGTGCTATATTTTTAGGGAATATAAATTTTACCATGTCTAAGCCAATTCTACTCGTATTTTAGTACTAATGATTATCATTTCCAGAGTACACAATAATCACAGATTTGAAACCAGATGGAAATTTTGTTTTAAGGCAACATAATAATTGAGGTAAGATTTGGGCTCTGTAGTTAAATGAAAAGTTGACTCCTAACACTGTCACACCCTAGTTTAGTCCCAACAGTCAAATGATTTCGGTCTTTAAAACAAACAGTACATTCCACACAGCAGTAATTAAGAAAAGTAAATGAAAAAACTCACATGAAGTTCTCAGCACAGCATCCTGCATGCGGTAAGGTTCGGTGAATGTTAACTATTGATTCTAGTTTCACTCATTGATTTGAATCTACAAGCAAATGACTGGCAGCAAATAGTGTAGTGTGTAGAAGCTCAGACTTCATTTGTCTGATGGATAATTTGTGCCATCTTATTATGTAAAAACAATTTCGTGAAAATTCATAAATTACTACAAATGCCTTCTGGCTACATAGGAAGCCTCCAAGCCTGATCATTCATCATTCAGATTCTTCATTAATACACAAATTAAATGAAGTATTATAAAACACAGCGTATCCAATTAAAGAACAGTTAAAAACATGCACCTAACACACACAAACACACACACACAAACACAACACACACACACGATCATAGGAAGAGTCACATAACTTTGTCACCCACAAAATGCAAATTAAAACTACAGTGAGATCTTTCTACACACCATTAGACTAGCAAAAGTTAACAAGTCTGACAAAACTAAATGTTTCAATCTTTTGGTGATGATATGAAGCACATTGGAAAATATAGTATCTGGAAAAGGAAGAGCTATACAAAGCCTGTAACTCAGAGGTAAATGACCTAGAGAAACTCATGCACATATGCATTAAATACATCTAACATACTGCTCACTTCAGTATTATCTTCAATACCCTAAACTGGAAGTATTTCAGATGTCCATCATCACAGAATGGATAAAAAATTATGGTATAACCATGAAATGGAATAGTATATAGCTGATAACATGTAGCTCTGCACAATACACGTGCTCTTATAAACAAAGCTCTAGAAAAAAACAAAATGAAATGACATTTTTGAAATACATTACTAGATGACAAAACTACAAATATAAACAAGGAAGCTTCACCATGCAAGTGAAGACCATGGTTCTTCTCCCTCTCACAGAAGGGAACATGGCATGACCAGGAAGGGTCACTTAAGGTGCTCTGGGAGGGTGGCATTGTTAGATTTCTTTGGCTTAGAGGTTGTAGCACAAATGTTTGCATAAAAATTATTCATGATATCAGATAAATTGACTGATATACTCTCTGGAATATATATTTCATTTTTTTAACTTAAAATGCCACACAAAGGCTTTGGTTTCCACAAGCTAGCATTGGATAATCCCCCAAATTCTTCCAGAACAAATTATCTTCTGATGTGTGGGGCTTTTCCTGGGATTAAATTTTTCCTAGGAATTTATCTGTGAGTAAGTAACACACGCACAGCCCTTACCCCATCCTAACATTAACTTGACCTCTTGCACTTTGCTTTGCTGACTCCTGTGCATCAGTTCTAGAATTTTCCCAACTGGTATAAGGGAGGATAAGGCAAATGCTTGGCCCTTGAGGGATGTAGCAAATGTTAAACCCAAGAACAAGGCCTGTACAGCCAAGGCTCACATCCCTCGCTGCTGTTATATTCACAGGCGGATTCCTCAGGATCACAGAAATCTGCAGAGCTACTTGGTTCACCTTTCTGGAAAGTAATTTATACATTTATTTTGTGTTTAAAAATATGAACACATGATAGACTATAATGAAAATTCCTATGATTTCTTTAATCACTCATACCACATTATTTACTAACATTTTGATGAATATTCTTCCAACTAAATACTGTTCTTAGCTTCTTTTTTCTCTCATTGAGTGTATTGGTACATTTTAGGTATACAGTACAGTTACATTCATCATTGGGATCTTGTACCTTTACATGACAGGTCTTGGTTCTCATTTTTTCCCCTTGTCCCTGCTCTCCCTTCACCCCCTCCTCCCTTCCCTATTTACAAATACTTTATTTCTTTTCTTTTTTTCATTTTTTCATGTTTGTTCTTAGTTTCTTTTCAAGTAACATAAATATGGAAGCCAACACAAATATAGATTTTTTTTCTCTCTTTGCAATACAAAACATAGCTTATTGTATGTGCTGTTTTCTTGTTTTAACTTAGTGGTATGTCCTGAAGATGTTTCTGTATCCACTCATAAAATCTTCTCTATTATTTCAGCTACACCATATTCCATTTTTTTGAATGTACAATATTATTTTAGCACTCACTAATTGA